TGTTTTTGAGATGAGGTAACCAGAACTGCATGCAGTATTCAAGGTGTGGGCATACTATGGCTTTATGATATTTTCTGTCTTATCTATCCCCTTTTTTGATTTCCTCTGCATATTGAGCAGATGTTTTCAGAAAACTATCCATGATGACTCCAGGATCTTTCTTGAATGGTAACAGCTCATTTAAACCCCATCATTTTGTCTGTATAGTTGGGATCGTTTTCCAGTGTGCTTTACTTTGCATTTATCTACATTGAATTTCATCTGCCATTTTGTTGCCCAGTCATTCAGTTTTGTGAGATCCCTTTGTAACTCTTTGCAGTTTGCTTTGGACTTAACTACCTTTAGTAATTCTTATGTCATCTGCAAACTTTGCCACCTCACTGTTTATCCCTTTTTCCATATACATTTATGAATATATTGAACAACACTGGTCCCAGTACAGATCCTTGAGAGACCCTGATGTTTACTTCTCTCCAATGTGAAAACTGACCATTTATTCCGACCCTTTGTTTCCTGTCTTTTAACCTGTGACTGATCCATGAGAAGACCTTCCCTCTTATCCTATGACTGCTTATTTTACTTAAGAGCATTTGGTGAGGAACCTTGTCAAAGGCTTTCAGGAAGTCCAAGTGCACTGTATCCGCTCGATCACCCTTTTCCACATGTTTGTTGACCCCCTCAAAGAAGTCTAATAGATTGGTGAGACATGATTTCCCTTTACAAAAGCTGTTGACTCTTCCCCGACATATTGTGTTCATCTGTGTCTGATGATTTGAGTTTTTTTTACTGTAGTTTCAACCAATTTGCCTGGTACTGAAGTTAGGCTTCTCAGCCAGTTAATGGGCAGGATCACCCCAGAGTCTTTTTTTAAAATTGGTGTCACGTTAGCTATCCACCAGTCATGTGGTACAGAGTCTGATTTAAGCAGTAGGTTATATACCACAGTTAATAGTTCTGCCATTTCATATTTGAGTTCCTTCAGAGCTTTCAGGTGAATAGTATCTGGTCCTGGGGACTTTAATGTTTAATTGATAAATTATGTTCCAAAACCTCCGCTCTTGGCCACTTGTCTGTTTCTTGTCAACCTCCTCTGTTGACATCACCACCTGCTCCCAGCAGTTACTTTCCCTTTTCTCTCACCTCCCAGTTGTTTCACTCTTCCCCTCTTCCTTTTTGTTTTTCACCCCTCAGTTCTGCTCTCATGTGCTAGCTCAGTTGCACAGTTGAATTGACAAGGTGTCTGGCCTATTTCGCTTTGGTGGGACCATGAATAGAGGCAGGGAGCAGCAGGTCTTTGCATGTCAAATGTTGATGCCCTGCTCTGCAGTGTACTCTGTAACTGTGAGAGATGAAAGGCTGTCCTTACTTCTGAGCTCCAGTCCTGTGCGTGTATGAGAGAGGCAGAGAGGAATAAGGCAAACATGCTAAGAAAGATGATTGATTAAAGCCAGGAGGACAAAGTCCAGACAGAAATGACAGCGTGTGGGTGGGTGATGTGGGCTTTTGTTTGCTTTTAGTTCAGTTTTCTGCAAGCCATAGAGTAAAAGGTGCTGTTGCAGGCTGATGCATTAACCTTAATGAGTTGCTCATTCTGTTCGCTTACAGAATCCATTTGATTGTGTTGTTCGGCTTATCAGTCAGCTGGGCACTGAGGTTACTGAATGCACGAGTTTTGCACCTTTCGCATCTCTGTGACATGTGATTCCTCCTTACTATGTGACTTGGTGTCTGCATTAACCAGCCTCCTATTGTAGTGCAGCTCTTTATACATTAACTGCTGCATTCATTTTAATATTTTTAACATGTTGGAAAAATGATTTTTAGAGCAAAATAAGCAACCTTACTTTGAAAATGACTGGATTTTAGAAAGCTTGAAAATTTTGTCCCAAACTCAGGTAAAAATAGGAACGCCTTAACCATGGCATCTATGCTTCAGAGGGCAGTTGGTCTGTAAGGGAGAACAAATAGTGTAAACACACAGGAGTTTTCTAATAATTAATACACTTCAATATAGCACCTTTACTGCCAGAGTGTCTCTGTGCTTACAAACTATAGCTCGGAGGGAAGAGTGCCCTGTAATGAATCACTAGCATCGCTTTCTGCTGCCCTTTGGGTTTTCCTAGAGAGGTCTCCCATTCAGATGCGTACCAATCCCAGTCCTGCTTAGCTTGGCAGTCTGACATCACAGACAAGTTCTGTGATTGCATAGACCAGGGGTAGGCAACCTATGGCACGGGTGCTGATTTTCAGTGGCACTCACACTGGCCACCGATCCGGGGAGCTCTGCATTTTAATTTAATTTCAAATGAAGTTTCTTAAACATTTTAAAAACCTTATTTACTTTCCATACAACAATAGTTTAGTTATATATTATAGACTTCTAGAAGGAGACCTTCTAAAAACGTTAAAATGTATTACTGGCACACGAAACCTTAAATCAGAGTGAATACATGAAGACTCGGCACACCACTTCTGAAAGGTTGCCGACCCCTGGCATAGACACTCCAGTCCCCTAAGCTGGAAGGGCCTGTGGCTTCCATCTGCTGGAGGGTTTTGCCTGCATCCAAATGAATTCTAGCACTTTAATCATGACAACACCCAATGAGGTAAGTAAATTGTGTTGGCTGGAATTTTCAAAGGAGCCCATGAGAGTTAGACACCCAATTCCCATGGGGGTTAAACACCCAACTCCCTTAGGCACCTTTGAAAATTCCAGCCATTATCCCTAATACTAAAAAAGGGAAATTAAACCCCGGAATGAGTTGGTGTCGGAGCTAGGATTAGAACACAGAGGCTCTTGCTGCCACTGTCATGCTAAGTGCTCTACTGAGCTGTCCCTCTTGTGGTAAGAGGCCTCACTGGCTGCCCAAATGTAGCTGTAAGAGGGAGAATGAGAAATCCTTTTATCAGTGGCAGACCAAGTGATCTCAGCTGTGATACTCCTCCCCCTCCCCCCCGCCCCCCAAAAAAGTGACTATAGGCTAACTCTGTAAGGAAATGGGCTATAAACTTGATTTAAAAATGATCCTTTTACGTGGGTAAATTCCCCAAATCAGGAGTCATTGGGTGCAGTGGCAGACTTAGTAGGCCACAGTGGCTGGTTTGGGAGTGCACACAACAAGCCACGCTAATTTCTACTCCCGTAAGGAAATGGAAAGAATTCCTGTTTGTCACGTAGGAGCTGACATAGTGGACAGGATCAGAGCCATGATCTATCAGCTTTAAAATATAAGCAATGGAGAACTAAAACCAGAGTACCTGCCCCTGACCATTTCAGAGCATGTTTTGGAACAAAATGTATACTTCTCTCACCCAAATATAAAAGGGGCAAGAAAAGTGGGATGGGTGAGGAAGAAGAGAGTTAATGCAGGGCTCCCGAAGGACAGCCTCTGAAGTCCTAGAATGCTTCCCTCTGATTCATCATGTATTCGACCCAGAGAAGAGCCTTGTGATTTGAGCAGGCCAGAGCCTGAGTCATGTACTCCTCTTGCCGTGAGTGCCCCGAGGCTACTGTATCAGGGAGGCAAATATTATGGCTTACATGCTTCATTGTTTTCTTCGAAAAGTATGTAAATTTCTATGCAAATAAATGCAAGTGTCTGATTCAGAGAAAGTTGCTAATGTGACTATCAGTCTTGGTCTAATGGGCTGGGCCCTTGGGGCAGATGCACCAGCCCCATTTACAGGAGAAAGAATTAACTGCGGCTTTGAAGAGCCTAAGAAAAAGTACTCAATGAATGGCTGCATGATCTTTCCTCATTCCCAGCACCCTCCTTTGAGAAGGGGCACAGCTGTGTGTTCACATTCCACACTCTGAGGTCCCACTTGTCCATCCCGGCTACCTTCATGGCTTCATGTCAGGAGGGCTCTGTGGTTTGCAGGCTTTGATTGTTCTGCCATGTTGTGCCTTGTTCTTTTCCTTTCCTCACCTCTGTCTCTATCTTCCCCCCTCTCTGTTCCTCTTTTTTTTTTGTCTCGTTTTTACAGGCTGTTTCCACTC